TTTGAGACGGGTTCCTGAACACCAACCTCTACAATTACACTAAGCAAATGAAGCCTTAAATGAAGCAGGATTGGGTCTTTCCTCTTCTCAGGAGGGGACCCCAAACATGAGGCTGGTAAGTCACTGTGTTTCTTTGGCCACAGAACAGAACATGGCTGGCTGGCTCACCCACAGGTTTTAGGGATGGGAGTTGTGGCACTGGAGAACTGATCTGTCCTCAGTGCCCTGTGGAAGAACTTGTAAGTGTTTCTAGGAGGGGGAACGGGGACACAAATGAAGGGAGATTTCAAAATACCTAGGAGAAAAGGCTGAGCTGAGCAGATTTGCTTTTCTCTTTTTAGTATTACTGATTGTCTCAGACAACTGCCTACTTGGCAATAGAGCTGCTGTGGAGCTTACTTCTGACACTGGACATTCTCTGCTCATTGTACAGGGTGCCTATGTACCTAACCCAAACATGGCTGAACTCTTTGCCTCTCCTGAGGCAAGCTGAGCTTTCTCCACACCTCATAATTTCTCACCATCTCCTGCTTTCTTTTTCTCATTCCAACCAGTTTCCTCCAAATTACAAGTGGCATGCTTCCTTCTCCCCTCTGTCCATGCACTGCAACTCAGGGAGCAAAGGTGGGGGAAGACAAATGCATCAGTTCTTTAAAATGAAAGTCACCAGAAAAGTGAAATGTCAAAACAAGACATTTTCCCCTATTCATACTCCTCCAAGCAGCTGAAATATTTGTTTTGGGGTTTTTTTGCAAGCAGTTGGCTCTTGATGAATCCAGTAATAAAAAAATTCAACGATACTTGAAGTAAGCCCAGAATTCATCTTCCCTCAGCCTCCTTTGTTTCAGAAGCATTTCCTTCTCCAAAACATTGCCAGGAAATGACAACTGACCTGCACGTGTATGGCACTGCAATAACAGAATAGCACACCCAGGAACTGCTTTCAAATTCACATCAAGGTGAGCAGAACACGAATGAGATATTAAAAATAATGGCTGAGGAGACAGTCAGCTTTCTCTTTTGCTACCTGCTTTGCTGATCTCCAGGCAGCCCAGTGTGGCTTTAAAAATCTTGTGCAACTTGCTGGAGGCTTCCCAGCTGCATCCAGCAAAGAAACACGCTCAGGCAAAGAAAGGCCACTGTTTCTTCCTGGTTTATTCTGCCCTAAGTGGGCAGTTATAAGAAATCACAGTTATAAGAAATCAGTTATAAGAAACTGTCCCATCAGCTGATACAATCTTGCCATTTAGAAGTTAGGCTGTGCTTCCAAAGCTAGAGTTGTCAGCTTTATCATACTGCTCATTGCTGTGAGGGGCCCTCAGCCCTCCAGCATAATAAAGGTTTCCACACTTTCTGTGCAGGATGAAATCTTAGGTGAGTTATGAAAAATACACCACACCTTTGACTATGGCATGAACAACATTGTGGCTGGGTTTAATTTCTGTCTAACTCCTTGTAACTTTGCCATCAGGAGCATTTATGTTGTATTGTTGGGACTTTCAGTGTCCAACAAAGAACTTTCATTAGGACCTTCTGTGGCAAAATTATTTGCAATCCCTGTACTGAAAAAAGCTCTGTGCTGGGGGGATGGAGCTTCACTTCTGTCCAGAAGGAGGAGGATTACTGTGAGAACTAACTCATTTCTGGCCCTGCCGTGGTACACTAGTGTCCCTCACACACCAAAATCTCCCCATTTGCTTTGAGATGGAGCCTCTCGATAGACGGAGCTCATCTGAAGCTCAGGTGTGTGTCTCAACCAACCTCCTTAATACCTGCCAGCAGAAGAGCTCATTCAAATCGGAGCCCAGATGCAAGCTCACTTGGTGCTTACCATCTGCAACAAAAAGCCAGCCACCCTGCAGTGTGACCTTTTCTACCTGCTCTATCACTACAGAATACCTAATGATGACGGCTCATGAACAGCCCAGCTGCAAGATGCCTGCAGCACAACCCACAACTTTCACCTTCGTGACTAAGTTGGCACCAAGACAATGTCAGACCTTGAACCTTTCTGCGTAGTTGCTACAGGGATATCAGAGCCAACATAACCTGTAAACGTATAAAATATATCAAATGCATTGTTTTAACCTTCTGCTTGTCAGTGACAATACAATAATGAAGATGGAGGATGGAAGACTTGTTAGGTTCGAATGTCACAATATGAATATTGATGTGCTGAAAGGAACCATATATAACAAGCATAACATTAAGGTCCTCCATTAGGCAAACTGCAGGTTTTTGATCTCAACTCATGCAATTACCAGGTGTCAGAAAATAACTTTTCCTACCACCTTCAAGAGTTTTTTGCCTAACGACCACTGAACTAAGGCATTAATCTCTGAATAAATCAGAGCTTTTGGTCTGATAAAGATATGGATACAAAATGTTAGTACTTGGAAATCTCAAGAAAATTGAAACTTTTCACCCTTAAATATCAGCCAGAATCTCTGTTTCTTCCAGTCCTCTCCCAGAAAAAAAACCCTGTTCATTTCAAAAGAAGTTTCAACAGATAAGGTCATGTGTTTTGACCCTTACCACTTTCAACACTTAAAATAATTGAATCTATTGTTGCAGCAAATAAGAGCCTCATACAATCTTGTATTAGAATTTATTTTTTGATAATTACTGATGTTCTATGCAGGCGGGAAGGCTTGGTTGCTTGCCTGTAGGACACTAATGGGAAATATTTTTTTTCCAAGCATCACATTTATCAGTGCACTAGAAGAAAATAAGCCTGTATTAGGAAGTTTCATGCTGGCTCTCATTATGCTATCTCATAAACTTGTCTTATGATTTATCATAAAAAGAAAATATATTTTCTCAGTTGAGATCAGAGGTATTAGATGAGAGGTCATGGAAAGATGGCAGAAAAATGGTAGTTTTCCATTGCAAAATTTGATGTATCACACATACTAAGTTCAACTAATGCTGCTGATGGTCAGGGAAGTCTGGTAGGATCCTGGTGGACTCCCGTTCCTCAGGGTCAGGGATGATGGAAACTGTGGGGTTCCCAGCTCTGGTACAGTCCAGAAGTAAATCTCTCCCAGTGCCTCCAGCAGGGTGCTCAGGAAATTTGATGTCCTTGTCAATTTTGCTGCAGTTAGTAGCAGGGGAACTGACAAGAATACCAATTTTGCAGAGCAGCTGCAGGATACTGTTAGCTTATTAGAAATTTAAAAAAAAAAAAAAAAGGGCTTTGGATTCAGCTGAGATCAAACCCAGTACTGCAATCGACAAACATTCCCTACAACCTGGAGACCCAGCTTTTAAATTACTTCTTCAGACTGACATCCCTCTCACCAGGAGAGCTGATCTGCTGATAGGTCTGATAAAACTTCCTTCTCCTCTGAGAAAAGGAAATACATGTTTTTTACTCTGGTTTTAATCACTGTGTACTTTCCAAATGTTTTGGTAAATGGGGCAAATCTACACAACACTTCTTGTAATGCCCCGAGCAGACTCTGCAGGCATATTCAAGCCAGCAAATTAATTGGTCTAACCACAGCAGTATGCAACTCAGCCAGGAGCTGGATAAGCCATACAAATAAATACTAGGCAGGCTTTTACAACCCATGGTATGTTCTGAACTGCCGTGGTTATCCTAGTTAGAACCAACTGACTCAGCATGCTGGGACTAGCTTCAAAGTAGCTATCAAGCTATCACTGCAGCAACCACATACCCTTAAGAGCTACACAGTTTTCATGGAAATCCTGCTAGACTGCACAATGGTTATGACTGATACAGAACATGAAAGAGAAGCCTTTTGTTTTGCAGAAACATGTCATTTGTGGTGACAATAGCTTCTCAGCTATTAAGTAAAAAAATGCAGTCATCACCCAGAGTAATACAGCCAACTATTCCAGTTCATTAGACTCTGACAAATCGGAGAGCAGTTTAAACAGTACACAGCAAAGAGCACCTTCAGGTAGGAAACCTGAAAACTCCTATTCTGCATTTAACCTCATGCAAGAATTTGCACGTAGATATATGAGACCTCTTGAGCAATTGTGGGATATTTTCAGGGGTACAGGCTTTGAGGTGCCAGAGTTATGGTCAACTCTTGCCTGAAAGCTTCCACTGTACAATAAACAGGTCAGAGAGCAACTGGGCTGTAAATCAAGCCTCTTTTGGCACTTAAAGGAGAAATAGCCTCACGGCTTTCTTTCTAGTTCTAGTGAAAACAATAAGAAATCAGAAGAAAATTCATGCTTTCTCACAGACAATCCAGACTCAAGACTTGCAAAACCAGATGCACTAATTTTTAGTCATCATTGAAGAGCAAAGAAAAGAAACCATCTAAATACAAAGCTTGAAAGCAAACATGCCAGGTACAAACTTCTACCATGTGCATCAGTGCCTGGATCCGGGACTCTTGCTCAGACCAATTTAGAATATAGAAACACATTTTTGTTGTTTTCCATACTTATTTTTTAAATAAAGAGTCTTAAACAAGGAGTGTTAGAAAGCCCTGGCAGAAGGAGGGGTGTGGCAGGAAAAGAGATTTGTTTTTCTCAGAAAACAAGTGACACATCTTTCCTGCCCAATGGAACAAATAATTTATGGTTACGCCAAGTTACTCAACACAATGTCAACTCCCTTGTAATGTATTTTTCTCACAGCTCTGTTAGCACTTACAGGAGTTTCAAAACAGCTAAATCTTCCACTAGCCTTGTCTTTTCACACTGATGTTCCCTTTACCCACAATCTGCCAAATCAATGTAGCAATATTTCTTCTGGGTTACTCTCTAGCTCTAGTAGTAGAACCTGAATACAGAGCTTTGGCAAGCTGCTGCTTTAATTCTAGAGCGCCTAATGTGTCACTTCGTTTTTTTTAAAAGAAGAAGATGCTAACAAACTTAAAGATCTCTTAGAATCTGAGAAATCTCTCCAAGACAAGTTTCAACAACCTTAAAATATATACGAATTAGGACTGCACTACAAACTCTTAGCCTCGTTGAGCAGTTCCAGATTAACAAACCAACCCGACCACAACTGTTACCTGCTGAAGTGTGCTTAAATTTTTCACTCTTCTTCTTCCTCCATTTCCATGGCTTAAAAAGTCTTCCAAGAGTGGCAAATTTGCTTCTTCTTCTGATTGGAGGTGTGTGAGTCCCAGGTACTAGAGAATCTGAACGCATTGCAGCCAGTCTTTCCGCTTCCTCAGCTGTCGTTTCAGCAAGAGAAGGAGGAAAAAAAACACAAAAAGGGAGGGAAGTGAAATAAATGCTTTAATAAATTATCAGAGAATCACACAGATGGTCACAATTTTCCATGGTTACTGAGATCGTAAAGAAGGGAAAAAATCAGAGTCTGTATTATTTTAACATTATGCTCTTTGACTTAAGTGGAATCCATAATCTACTGTAAAGATCAGTATTAACAATCAGATTCAACAGGAATATGGATTATCACAGCAGCAAAGTTATAATACTTAACAAATTATTCTGCATTGCTCTGGACAGCTGGCAGCCCATCCGCCAGCCATTCCTGGGGAAGCATGACAGACTAGGGAAGAGAAAGCTCCAAATAAAAAGATGTAATACTGCTTAAAAGAAATATTGCAAGCCTTGTATTTTTTTTTTTTTTTTAATTATTATTTTTTCAATGGAAAGTAACATTTCCATGAACTAATATTAAACAGGAGCAAGCACTTTGATAAATGATGACCCTCTAGTATTACTGTGTCCATTAAAACTGCCAGGGTTACAAAAGGGGCTGCATAAGGAATTTCCTAGTGACAGAAAGGGTCTTCGAAATTCAGAAGGTCCCTTCTACTCCCACTTTTCTGTCTACTCATTCCACTCCAATTCTTACACTTATCTTTTAACATGGGCACTCAGAGAATTTTAAGTGGGTCCACACCTAGGGCTGAATTCCCTGAGGGTGGGGGGTACAGGTTTTCACTGAGTTTCTGTTATTAAAATACTCAGCTTTCTGCAACCGTTACAATACATCATGATAGTCTCAACACTTAAAAAAATCCGAAGAATTTAAATTACTCTTCCTCCCAGATGAGAGCAAGAGGAGTCTGGGGGTGGTGACTTGGTGCAGTTCCATTGCACGGTCTTCCCCTCACATTTGAAGGAAATGTATGCTTATATTTTTCAGAAATAACCTCCCTGTGAGGAGAGAGTTAAGCCAGGACCACAAAGCAAAACACCAACAGGGCAAAGGCACCAGTAGCCCAGGGACAACAGTCTCTCCGTGCCCCAGCTGCCAGGGCTGCATTAAGCTCTCCCAGCCCTGGCCTGAAGCATGTACTCTCTCTATAAAAAAAGCATCTGTGCCATTCAGGCAGCATGCAGGAACTGTTTTTGTGGTTTGTTTGTAATTTGTTTGTTGTGGAATTTTTTTTTTTTAATTATTTTTTAAGTTGTTGTTGGATTTCTTTTTGCTTGGTTGGTTGTTTTTTCGTGTATTTTTTTTAGGGGATATAATTTCCCAGGCTTGTGTTGTGGTGTGTCACTGCCAGTAAAACTGATTTGAGTGGTTTGCACACACACAGTTTGGATTCATAAAGACAGAACATAGATCATCACCTCTCCTGCTATGAAGACAGCAGCCCAATGTTTCTATTTCACGACCGGTATATTAAATATTAACCTCAGCCATGAGCACAGGCTCAGGAACCTCTGCAAGAACACAGCTCTGAAGGGCTCAGTGCACCTACTTCACACTTAGAGAATCACCAGAGATTTTGGATGGCAATTTCTTACACATCTCAATGGAAATCTTTCTGAGGTTTTAAGTGTGCCAAATTTAGGTGGGTTTTCATGGGAACAGCTGGAGACACATTTCTAGCACAAAGGAAGTTCCACTATCAGAAATCTAAACTGAAATACTTTTTGAGCCCCTCAGGTTTTTGCAAGAAGTTTGGTTATTTTGCTATTGCTGTTTTGTTTGTTTTCAACGTTGGCAACAAAATCCTTTTTCCTGTAAAATATCACTGCCAGATACAACTGCCTGTAACTTTCTGGAGAAAAAACAAAGCTAGGCAGCAAGATACAGAAAGCTCAACTGCTCCAGTGGAAATGGTTAAAACCAATTACTCTTTGGGGTAATGGAGAGAAAGACAGATATTTCTGAGAGCATCATCTTTCCATTTAAAGCAGAGGAAAAAAAGGTAGTCTAGTTAAAGCATGTCATTCTGTTCAAGCCCTTTGTGCCTGACTGCCTAGAGGAATGCCTTCTTATAGAGAGAACCCATTACAAGGCTCTGTCCTGTGCAGGGGCTGGGACATGCTGCATCAAGGCTGGAAATTGCCTGGTTATGCTGAACAAACCATGAAGGTAGAAAGAAGAGGAAGCAAAAATTTCCTTACACTTTCTGATTTCACTGGAACGTGCTGGGTTTTGAGAAGCAGCATAGGGTATGGACCACCCCACCTTCTATGCAGATCCAAAAGGACCATGCCTTTTCCCCCTCCTCCATTTTTAAGATGCCTCTAAAGCACGTAAGATGACACTTGTGTTCCACTGCTGTGATTTTTTTTAGAGATGCTGCTAAAAGCAATGGGCTGGTGTTGTCTTTGCTGCCTTACCTGTATCAAAGTGGCCCACTGAGCAAACTGAGAATGGCGACTACTACTGCTGCTGACTTAGGCTTCCTGCTGCATAAACACACAGCTGAAACATAATGAAATTCCACTTCCTGCTCACCCTCTCTCCTTTTCCCATCATTAAGCCACCATTTCTGCTACCCAGGTGCCTTAGTTACTGTATCTCAAGAGTTGCAGCAACTCCTCTGAGAGGTGATTCTAACTGGTACTGCTGGGGCCATTCCCCACAGAACTGACATCCCTTAATAATCCTCTCCTTTCCTAACGCACATCCCCTCTGTCCCACACCAGCTGCACTTTCACTGCCCCCGGGGAAGCCTTTCCCATTCAGGGTAAAAGAGTATGGATTTTCAGTCAGGCAAAACTAACACTGAAGTAAAAAGGGATTTACCCAAAGGGCGGCTTCATTAAAAGCCAAACAGAGCAACAAAACCATTTCCATATTTTGACTGCTCTTCCCCGAATTACAGTAACATCTCTCCCACAGATCTGTGTTCCAGGGGTCCTGCTGTGCTCTCCATGAACTATAAACGTGGCCCTTCTCCTTCCTCTCCAAACACACACAGCTCTGAGATTATGCAAGTAACAGCTCTTTTCTCCCCTTACTCCTATTTCTCAGAAGGATTACCTCTTTTTTTTTTTTTCCCCCCCCACAAAAAGTATTCTCAAGAGCATTGCTGATTCAAACCAGAATAATCACTGGCTAGGAATGAACCCTGTTAGCATAAAGCCATGACAGTTTTAATAAAGCACGAATAAAAGCAGACCATGATGCGAGAGGTAAAAGCCAGAAGTAAATGCCAGAGTTCTATGCTCTTCTTTGCTGCTGCATCTTTCGCTTGAGTTGGCCACGTTTCTCGGCCTTTTTTGGCTCCTAATGGCTATTGACTGGCTGTGGGCTGCAACACCCACTGCTGACAGCAGGCTTCGTAGGCTGGTTTCACACCCTTGGTGTTCCCAAAAAAGGTGGTACTTGCACAAATGGAAACCAACCCAGGCCTTCCGCATTTATTTTTTTCAGCCTTCAGAGAGGAAAACAGTCGCAGCAGTCCCAGCTCGATCAGTCTGCTGCACAGGGAGAATGAACTGCCATGCGCATTAGTGCCTGTAGTCACAGTGCTGAGGTCACATCTGAGGCCAGCGCCATAAATGTGATGTTTACGGGTCACGGATGCTGCTGATACTCTGTGCTTTTGGGATCTTGTTCTGAGTTTTTTCCAGGACACAAGAGCTCGTTGTTGAGACAGAGACACTGGGACCTGCACTTAAGGCATGAAAGCAATGCACTCCCCTCCCACCTTCTTCTGTCTGAACTGTTGTTCCAGAATAGAAACAGGGAAACTAAACCTGAGAGCCTTTCACAGATTGGTATGCTGTGAGACAGATCTCAAGATTTTAATGTAGAGCTTAAGACATTTGAAGTGCATGTAGACTGAAGAGCTTAAGCAAGACTTGTGGTTTGAATCAGAAAGAGCATCACAAATCAAAATATTTTGCACCCAAGTGATGCAAAGAAATTTTACAAACTTGACTGAAATACACTACAAAGACTAATAACAGTAGAAGTCCAGAAAGCTAATTTATTCTCTTATCCCCACCCTCCCTTTTAAAAATTTGATTTTGAAGCTAACCCTGGATTTGAGGTCTTTTTTTGTTACTTTGAGGTTTGTGGGCTGCAAGGTATTGTGTGGACACCAGACAGACAAAATTACCAAGGTGAGGATGAACAGTTTCAAAAGCAGTTCTTCAAAACAGTCAATTTGCCAGTCCAAGAAAAAAAGAGGCCGGGCCTCTTCCGTATATTCTTGTCTCAGACCTATTCTGTATGTTCTTATGAGTTTCCCACATCTTTCAGTAGGGTGTCAATTTTCAGAAGATCCAGTAAGAGATAATACAGGGGTGACCTATTTTTTAGATTTGAGAAGTGTCTCGAGCAGATCAAAGGCCCTCCCAAGGACACAGTAACTTAACTGGAGAACAGTAACCAGGTTTGTCATTCCCATGTCTGTCTGGGATTCACAGCATCAATTAATGTTGCTGATACATCACATGTCCAGCTTCCACTTTAGGAAAAAAACGTTACTTGTTACTGAGTGATTTCATAGCCAAAGTCTGAAACCCACCCATCCCATCTATGATGTTTTTAGGTTTTCTCTAAGGTCATTTCTTAACACTGTTCATAATCAGACACATGATTATCTTAGCAGGCTGTTTCCATCACAAAGTTAGATTTTAAGCCTTCCTAGGAAACAGCAATGGCTATATTGTGCTTTCTGTTTAGGATCTTTGTAAGTGATGTGGATGATGGAATCAAGTGTATCCTGATAAAGTTTGCTAATGATACCAAACTGAGTGCAGAAGTGGACACTTTGGAAGAGAGAGATACCCTTCAGAAGACCTGGATAGGCTGGAAGAGTAGGCTAAGAAGAACCTTATGAAGTTCTACAAGGACAAGTGTAAGGTTTTGTATCTGGAAGAACATACTCCAGCAGTGCAGCACAGCCTGGGATCTACCCAGCCAGGTAGCAGCTCTGTGGAAAGGGACCTGGAGGTCTTGGTGGACAAGCTCAATATGGGTGAACAGTGTGCTGCTGTGGCAAAGAAA